CATTGCTTAAAATAATAAAACCATACTGGTTTTATATGCAGAGGGTCTGTGTAAAGTTATTTGGAATAGATTCGGGAATAGTTTTTTAAAAAAGACTTCTTTACTTCCCTAACAAGGGTGACTTTTCATTTAGAGGAGTCCTCAGAATGTGATGTAGTGTCAACATTTTATAATAGAACTTCAAGTTTCGTGGGTGCTGTTCCTGCTGGGCATAGTACCCACTGTCTCCTGACCGTCTTTATCTGTAGGAAACTATTCACATGTGGTACTTACGGTGACATTTTGAAGGGCAGTATAAGTGAAAGACATCAATAATTGGAAATGAAAGATCATAATTATAATGGTGAAACACTGAGTATTATTAGCCAGAAAAATCTGAAATCCTGATTAATTTGGTCATCTTATGGGGGAAAATTCAGGAAATCAAAATGACATTACTTTTATTTTGACCTTGAGAGATCTTAAACACAAGTCACAGTTTTCAACACTGATAGTACCGGTTGATGATGCTTATTTTTGTTTCACAAGTTAGTCATGTGCTCAGAATTAGATGAGGCAACAAGAAAAATAGGTGTTCTTAAGGCCCTGTTTTGCAAGGGCATCCTTAGTATTAAATCAAAGCATCTTATCAAGGACTCCTAGATTTGAAGAAGAGTGTTTGTGGGGCAGATATTGGGGTAGTGTACAGTAGATGCAATCCCAAGACAGCAAATACTACCCGGCCGGTGTGGCTTAGTGGTTGTGTCGACCTATGAACCAGGAGGTCATGGTTTGATTCTTGGTCAGGGCATATGCCTGGGTTTTGGGCTCAATCTCCAGCAGGGGACATGCAGGAGACAACCTATCAAACTTTCTCATCACTGACGTTTCTGTCTTTCTCTCCCTCTACCTTCCTCTGAAATCAATAAAAACATATATATTTTTTAAAGTTTTGTAAAAAAAGGCAGCAAATACTTTCTGTGTTCTGTATAATTCCTGGGTCAGGGCTATGATTGGACTGCAGTGCTGGATGGACAAGGGGCACTAGCAGTCAGCCTAGGGGACGCATGGGTGTGCCTGAAGCAACGACAGACAACGTGTCTACCTTTGGCCTTGGCATACTCAGGCTAGGCTGTGGGCTGTGAGCAGGCAGACCCCAGCCATAAGGCTACACAGTCTTGTTCTGTTCAGCAAAGTGTTAGAATGAAAGTGAGTCTGGGTGATATTAGTTCAGGGATAGGCTTAAACCTGCTCTAAATTACAAAATAAAGTCTTATATGAACTTTGGTCACTAAGTATTAGCACTTGCTTCATTGAGGTGTTTGTTGAGAGACACCTGCTAATACAGTGGCCAGTCACTGCTACAGAGGAGAACCCTACCAGGGGACGTACAGACCACACTGGTCATTGTCTGGCCGCCTCCCTGGTATGGGAGGAGCGGTGGAAGGGCCGCAGGGTTTACCCACAGCCCCTGACTGCCCTATTTCCTTGCACTCAAGTTCTTACCACCTGATAATTTGCCTCACAAATGTAATTACATTTGGATATAACCCAAAAGAAGACAGTATTTGCATTCCTTTCCCTACAGCACTCAGTAGTTAATCTGGGGAATAACTACTTTAATGATTTAATTAGGGGACTAGGTCACACAGAAGGACTGAATTTGGGGAATATATAAGATTTAAGGATTAATGCACTTGGAAAACTGGTGTTTATTCCATAGATAGTATAGTATTTGGGGACACATTTTATGTCTCTTCTTCTGTTATTTAACTTGTCATTCACACTATAAGAAACAAATAGAAGGGAGGAGAGAAGCCAAATAGCCTTAAACCAAAGGAAAATAGGTACTGTTTAAAAAGATTCCCCAAAGAACAACAATGCACGCACCATAATTCTGAACAGGAAGTCAATTTCGAGTGAGAATCATTGTGACAGAAATGAAGACTTTTAGGGAAAAAAAATTCTTTTTACTCAAGAGAGTTTCTTTTTGCTGAACTATAATTTTCATTCAAAACTATTGCCTCTACCCTTGTACTTGGCCTTTTAAGTCACAGAATGCGAGAGAACAGAGACAGTCTCATAATTAGGACAAAGTATCATTTGAAAAGGCACTTTGATCTGAATAACCAATTGATAGAGAAAATAATTCTCTCTTGGACTTAAAAAAAACTTGGATGGATTGAATTTTTTTTCACAGTAGAGCTGTTACATTGCAGTTGCCTGTTAACACTTTCAACCCTAGTCACTATTACTGATTTTCCCACTTGGAAAACTGAATGGCCGCTGGCTTTGCCTTTTTGTGTGTATGTCTGAAGGTCAGAAAGAGAAAGGGAAGCTAGGGAGGCCAATGAGGTGTGAATGGCCTGATTTGGCTGATGTTCAGAATGGGAGAGGCATGCTGGAAAGACAGGGCCTGTTCTGGTTTTGCTGAGTTGTAAGTAACAGAGAAAGCTCATGGTCATTCTTTCGTGAAACTCATAGGCTGTGCCTCCCCACCTCTGACTTTGCAGAGCTTGGCTGTTTCTGCCTCCACACATGCTCTTCTCTCAGTACGGTGCTGCCTCAGGGCTCTGAGCCATGTCTTGGGCATGTGCCTGGGTACCTGGAAGGCACTGACATAGAACCCACCCCCCACCCATCACATTCCAGGGGGACCTCAGAGTAATTTACTTGGATGCTGAAACCATATCCAGGGCCCTGAAGCAGTTAAACTTGCTTCATAGATGTACTGACAAGAAATAACTTCATCCAGAGGTCCTAGAGTTTGCTATGGAAGCTCTGTATGCAAGGGTTACACCTACTTTCCTTCCAGAGTAGAATTTACCAATCCCAAAAAGTAAGATTTGCCTGACCAGGCGTGGCTCAGCGGTTGAGCATCGGCCTAGGGTCCAGGAGATCACGGTTCAGTTCCCGGTCAGGGCACAGGCCCGGGTTGTGGGCTTGATCCCCAGTAGGGGGGCAGGAGGCTGCTGTTCAGTGATGACTCTCTCATCATTGATGTTTCTACCTCTCTCTCCCTCTCCCTTCTCTCTGAAATCAATAAAGACATATTAAAAAAAAAAATAAGGAAGATTTGGAGAACAAGTTTAAACATCACTTGAAAAAGATGGTGCTGGAGTAAAAATCTTCAGTATTCCTTTGATAAAATCTGCAGAATGAAAAGCCATGATATTTTTATTAACAGTGAGCAGACCGTTAGATATTTGAGTTGCAGTGGATTTGGTGGTCACCTGTTAACCTTTATTTTAAAGAAGCATTTATTCCTTTTCAATTGTGTTGGCAAACAGAGCTATTAAGCACCAGTCTCTTATGGCTGATTCCTGACATCCAGCTTGACTCCTATTAGGAATGTAATTAAAGTGTCATCTCCCACCAAAAGACACAGACTCTAAAGTAAAAAAAAAAATTAATGAGGTAGCTGTGGTGATGATGCAGCTGTACTTGGAGAGCTGTTTTTACAATGTCTCTATCATACATTTTATTTAAAACAGCATTGTCTACTAGAAGCATGATGGGAGCCATACACGTAATTTTAAATTTTCTAGTAGCTGCATTAAAAAAGTAAAAAGAAACAGGTAGAATTAATTATGATAACATATTTAACTCACTACATCCAGAATAATATTATTTCAAGCTATAATCAGTATAAAGATTATTAATGAGATATTTCGCATTCTATTTTTCTTCTTGCATTCGTTTGCTTTATGTTTAACACGGCACATCTCAAATCAGATTAGCTACGTTTCAAGCACTCAGTAGCCACATGTCGCTCATGGCTACCATGTTGGGCAGCACAGATTTAGAACATATTCCTTTAACCTTTCAAATATTGTAAAAACAAATACATTAAAATAGAATAAAATATTTTAGAGTTCATAATACTTTTAGACAACTAGAAAAAGGGGAAAGTTGTTGAAAATTACTAAAATAGGTGAGTGGAGTAAAATAGCTATCTGATGCATTGTACTATATTGTATTGTGTTGTGTTGTATTGTGTGGTGATGGTGTTCTGTTGTGTTGCATTGTAGTCCACATTTCTTACGTTATTGGAAAATATTGCTCACATATTAATAATTACAAGCTAAAATTTAGGGCAAACTAGGACACAGCCCTCTCTCACTCTACTTGTAATTGGTAAGTTTTCTATCAACAAACCTGTGTGCCCACCCTGGTTCCTGCAGTTACAAGTCAAAGCTTCGCAAAGAGTCATGGCTCTCTGGAGCATGATTTTAGAGCCCTGGTTATGATTTTGAGAACTTGTAGGGACAAGTAAAATCCCCTCAAAATGAAGCATTGCTACAGAGACTCTTTGAAAAGGAGAGAAAGATTACCACTGGTTGTTAGAGGCTAATTAAAAAAAAAGAACAATCATAAATCATCCATTCCATCAATATAGAATTATTCAAAATGGGAATCTTTTCTGTGAGAGGTCTTCATTTCCTGAGACCTTACGTGTAAATATGCGGTGGTTTAATTTCATTAAGTCAGGATGGGTTTTTACTCAAAGATGTACTTAATTTGAAGTTATGGAAAAAGAGGAGAGTTGGTCTGTTTTCATATAGTTTGTATCATCTACTCATGACTCCCATTTTACCTGTCCCCACATTAACTTTAGTGGAAAAACTTATCACCTGAGAGCTATGAAGTATTTGGTAAAGTAGGAAAATTGTCCTCATTTGTAAATGTTTCTAAAAAGTTGCAAAGGATCATTTCAGTCAGTGAAACCAGAACCCCCTTTCAATCCCTTTGTTAAGATGTAATTAAATACTGCATATAGATTTTAAGAGGGGCAAAGTGAGGAGAAATGGTGAATTCTAGAATAGCAGTTCTCTGCCCAGAGCCTTGCAATGGGGGGTTTGGGGTTGTACTTTTTTACATTCTCACCGGAGTGCGGCCCCGTTTGTCCCACCCCTGTCATGCACACCTTGGTGGGTCAATCTGAATTTCTTGCCTGCTCTTTCTTGGATTGATTTCTAAGAGATCTTTTTTCCCCCCGTTTTTATTCTTTTGGCACCCAGGAATTAAATATCTTTAATTACTTGGATCTGTACAGACTTGCTGACCTCTTTAACCTCACTGTGCTGGAGAAGGCAGTGGTGGATTTCTTAGTGAAACACCTCTCGGAGCTCCTGAAGAGCCGCCCGGAGGACGTGCTCACGCTGCCCTACTGCCTGCTGCAGGAGGTCCTCAAGAGCGACCGCCTCACCTCCCTGAGCGAGGAGCAGATCTGGCAGGTAGGGGCGCTCGCAGGGCTCAGGGCTCGGGCGGGGAGGGGCGGGAAATGGTCGGAAGTTAAAGGATGGAGGAACGAGGAGAACTGCTGGGGCCGGGTTGGTCCTCACTGGACGCGGCGTCCCTGATGTCATGCTCTCCCGATGGACAAGTCAACTGGAGAGCACCGGCCTGGCAGCCTGGAGGCCTCGGCCAGCTCAGCCCGCCTCCGGGGATCCTCGGGCCCTCCGTGACTTCCCCAAACCCTAAGCCAAAGGGTTTTTTTCTCCTGAGGAAAGTATTTCCTTAAACTGAATATGGGAAGAGTGGATTGTAAAGTGCTACTTATGCAGTTTTAAGACCAATGGAATCAGAATAAGTTCTGGGCTTTCCTATAAGCAATTCAGAAACATGCCTTTGCTGCAGCAGAGAGCAACTGAGACCTGAAATGAAACGAAGCTCTTCTTGCACTGCAGTGAAAGAGTCTCCCTCTTTAGTTATTTCTGCATTCATTGAATTTTCCTAAGCCCTGCCTTTTCGCCTGATGTGGCATTCCTTTTGAATATCCTTTGTCTAGGGGACAGGAGGATGTTTTGTGTTTTCTAGTTGATTATTCAATTTAAATCCTTCTTTGCTCTTCCCCAGTGACTATCCTTGAACAATCCACATGGTGTCTTTGGGAAATAGTCAGAGCCCATCTTCCCCCTTCATCTTAGACTGTCTGTCTCCCTCTCTGAAACACTGGATGGCTGTAGTATTACTTCTAGTCCAGCATACCTTCAAAATTTCATGATCATTTGAAAAATATTTACATACAGACTATATGGGAAAATATGAAGCCTTCTATTAGATAACAAGGCAGTGAATTTCTGGTATCTTACCAAATAGCATTCGGAGAGTACCATAATTCTGGCCCAAACAGTCAGAGGTAGCTGTTAATTATCCAGTATCTGACAGACTAATACTTTTTCTGATGTCTTTCCCCCTTATTTCTTTGCATTACTTTAATCAACAACTTCTTTCGACATTGTTTGCTTCCACCGGTGAGGGTAATAAGAGCTGTGGTGCACTGAGGGCTTTCCAGACCCAGGCTCTTTTCAAACTCACTGACTTTTCATCACAACAGGCCTGAAGGATGGCTGTTGTCACCCCACCTAACAGATGAGCAATATGAGGCTTCAGTGCCTTGCTCAGGGTTACAGAGCAGAGCCAGCCTTCGTGTCCAAGTCCACTGACCTGTCCTCATTTCTGCAGTATTCCACAATGTCAGGAACCAAAAACAAGCTGTAGACTTTTATTTCTGTATCTTAGGTATTTCTCATAATGTTTGTTCAGGCAAAGGTCACAAGTGGTGAGGATGAGTTTTTGGTATGAATTTCAATGATCTGTTCTCCCTGTAAACACAAATCATCAGAATTTTCCGGTCAATTCAAAGTGGGAAATTGCCAAAAAAGATTTTCATTTCCCAAAGGGGAAAAGAAAGACTTGGAATGAATTCTGCATTTAATTATTTCTAAATGAATTGAGATCTGAGCCAGCCATCCTTGTGGCTTCTGTCTCTTTTTGTGGCATAGCTGAAGGCACTGCCAGAGATGGGCATGGTAATACGCACAAGTCAGAGTGTCCAAATAATTCCATACTGTCCACTTAAGAGTTATCACAATGGCCTCTCTAAAGGTTACTAGTATTATAATGTCGAATTTTAAAAACTGCTTTCAGCTGCAGGCAACATTTTTTTTATACCTGGTCCTCAAGAAAGAATTAAAAGACTCACATAAATATGGTCAACTTAGGCATTCAGCAGGCAATAAGAAACTGTTTTGTTTTATCTTAGTAAATAAGTAATTCCCTCATACTCAGCCCAATAGAGTAAAATCAAATCAGACCAGCTATATTGCCTCAAGTATAGTTAAGTTCATCATTTTTGCTGAGGTTATACTAGTAATGCAATATACCATGGAAGAATCTAATATTCAGCCCAGGGTGAAGATTGGGTATGCCAGAGGATTAGTGTCAGGGTGCTTTATAGAAGTGAAACTTGATGGACAGGCTGGAGACAGATCTACAGAATCTCATTAAATTGCAGAATTGTTCATTACGGAGTGTTCTCACTGTAATAAAGTGCTCATTGACTTTGACAAATCCCCATCCCTTGTCTTAAAGAACAGTGAGGCAAAGGGTGTTGGGGAAGAGAAAGGAAATTGGCACGAAGTCCGACAGGTAATAGAAAAGTGGATGGAGGGCGGTGCTCTTTGATTAATACGTGCAACTGATACCTTATGGGAGAGCCCAATAAACACTCACACACACAGGTTTCTACATGTGGCTCTGCCACAGTCTACTGACAGTATAATCTGGGACACCCCCTTCATTTTGGTGAAAAGTCTAAATTTCATTCATGAGACCTCCTGCAGCCTCTCTCTGCAGACGTGTCATAAGAACCTTCCATCTGTCCTCACGGAGCAAACTCTTTTCTGTCTTTCCCTGCGACCCCTTACTCAGTCCCTTTCCTGATAAAATGTGCTGCAGGCCGTAATAGCCATCCCGTGGATCTGGAAACCTGTGAAACCCCCCAAGATTATGCCTTATATCTGCTCTTTTTTTTCCATCTGACCTTTTCAAACTTTATCTTAAGTCTCTTTTCTCACAGAGGGCTTTTTCAGCCCCCTGTGGAAATTTTTTTTTTTCTCCCTTCCATCACCTGAAACTACTTGACCTGTTAACTTTCCTTTCTAGTCACGGGTAACGTAGAGACTGTACCATGTACACATTCCCGCGTATAAGGACATAGCAGTCGTGTCAAAAAAATTCTGTACAAAAATTCAGTTCAGTTCAGCTCAACAATTTGGCCTTAGACTTTCAAGGCCAGCAATTTCCCAGGTTCCAGATGGAAAACACAATTGGTTATGGGGCTCAGGAAGGGGAGGCTGGAAATGAGCAAATCGGCCAGAGGGGAAGCATTGGGGCATGAGGTCGCTCGCATTCGTGATCTGGTGAATATCCACCAGTTTTACATTGCTTTTGGGGTTTAGACCTAACTTGGGACTTTATTTCAGTACGACTCTGTTACATTTCTCCTGTTAGATTCAATGTATAGCTTCAGACTGTTGAGCTGGGGTCCTGCTCTAAAACTCAGAGTGGAACAGTGCAGCAGTCCCGTACCACTCCCGCATAGCGGGCCTGTTTCCGTTTTCATAGGAGCCCTGGCTAACCTGTTTTCTTCTGAGGAAAGGGGGATCTCTGCCTCTTCTACCTCAGATCCTCTTTCTCCAGAATGAGGGGGAGATTACTTTCCATGGGAGTACAGTTTATAGAAAAAGCCTCAATACAATGTAAATTCTTATATTTGCTAGCTTAGGGGAAAGGTGTGGCTCTCCATTCATCAGTACTTTTCAAGCACCTACTAAATGCCCGAAGCCACGCTGGAGTGTGAGGAATGGTACAGGTTTGCTGACTCCATTTCCCTCTCAGGCCTCATCCCAACTGAGAGGGATCCTTATGATTTTAAATCATTAATTCAGCTGAGTCATTAATTAATTCTCTGGATTATGACTTCCTCTCTTAGGTGCCAGAAGCAATAACCCTATTTTTAAATGGATAAAGATAGTTTGTGGTAATAGAAATGAGTATTTTTGAGTGCCTGTATGTGCTATGCACAGCGTTAGAAGCCAGAGCCTGGGATTAAAAACTTTATAAACGTGTTTAATTATTGGGTTAGAGAGCTTTAGTTTCATTTCATCTCTAAATGTGCAGAAGTTATATTTTTCCTTTAACTATTTATTAACTGTTTCCTACTTTTAGTGAAAAGGGCTTATTATTAATTAGAACAGTCGAAATATCAATGTTTTCCTTCCTTTTTAACCTTGGATTGAAGGCACTTTCTCCTTATGTTTTGAGCCTAACTTTACCAGGACCAAACGTTTCAGTGGTCACATCACTGACATCAAACATGATCAGACCCTAGTCGGGAGGGTCTGCTTTATCCTGGTCATATCCCATTTAGTACGGCAAGAGGACCAAGCCACCTGGTTTGGGGTTGGGGCTGATCCTGTTTACAGTGGTCTTTGATTCTGCATCCCAGAGGCAGGGGCTGTGCCTGTCGTGTTTGGGTTGAATGCTGCCATGTTTTACTCTTGCACTCTATAAATAATTAATAAAGACAATAATGTAGAGTTTTCATATTAAAATGTGTTGAATGGATAACAAGGCTTCCTATTATTCCTGCATGAGGATAGACTTATTCTAAGGACATTGGTATACAAAATGGATTTGGCCTTTTAAAACTGCTCTTTTTCTTGTATTTTTGTTAGAAATGTGCACCCATAAGTCATACTGTTAATATCACATTTATTGTATATCTCTAGAGATGTAAGTCACATATCATTTAGAGTAGTCAGCAACCTCAAAAGTAGTAGTTTTTTTATGAGTTCTTCCTGGGCTTTTATTTACACCGAAAGGTGGCCCGTATCACAGTTTGATTTAATCATGGTCCTCAAAAGAAGTTCCAGAAGGTGAACCCAAACAAAAAGCTACTGTTTCTTACTAGTTGGAAAATAGAGGACACTAGTATTGTACTCAGCTTTTATCTTTTATCTCGTAGATGGTAAGTTAACCCAAATACTCCTCTGGCAGGGGAGAAGTAGGAACTTCCAACAGTACTATATGTTCAACAATACTATCCTAATACTTTATATTTGAATATCACACCACAGTTTTGAGACTGTTTCTGCATTTATCATTGCTTTGCTTTCCTGTGGTACAAATGGGGAAACTGAGGTAACAGAAATCAAATTCATGTCTTCTAATTTTGGGGCCGTTTCCACTTTGGTCCACAGCTTCTACATTCATAATAGAAACTCAGAAATACTTGAGCGTGATGGACACAGAGGTGAACCAAATTAATCCTGTGACTTGAAAAGAAATTAGGAAGAGCTTGGCCATTCCTATTCTCAGGTGCAGTGCCCGCAGATTAAAAGGGTAGTGAATGGCCTACTCTGCCTGTCTCCATGTCTTTGTCATGTTG